TTCCCTTCCCTTCCCTTCCCTTCCCTTCCCTCCCTTTTCCCTTTTCCCTTTTCCCTTTTCCCTTTTCCCTTTTCCCTTTTCCCTTTTCCCTTTTCCCTTTTCCCTTTTCCCTTTTCCCTTCCCCTCCACAGGAATTGTAGCATTTAGGCAGCACCTCCAGAACCTGGCACGCACCAAAGGAATCCTGGAGCTGAACAAAGTGCAGCTGCTGTACGAGCAGATGGGATCAGAGGAGGAGCCTTCCCTGACATCAGCTGCCACCCAGCTGCAGGACCTCATTAACAGCCCTGCACAGGTAATTAAAGCAGAGCTCGAGCTCCATCTCAGTGCTGTGGGACAGATCAGCAGAGGATGAGGTGGTGTGGAGATCTGGGAGGAGCTGATGGACAGATGTAATGTCCATTTCTCCTTCCTGCCTTCCCCAGACTGCAGAATTTGCAGCCCTTACCCACCCTTGTGGTGTCAGTGAGGGCTCTGCCAGCTTCCCAAACCCAGCATCACTGCTTTCAGTCTGAGGGGTGTTGGGGATTTAGGAAAGGCCAGTGACACCTTTTCTTGGTGGAGGCCCAACTGCAGGGAGCAGATTGCAGTTACACACAGACTGATGTGCAGAGTGAATGTTGAGTTGTTGAATGGGGACTCCTTTTCAGTGGAACAGGAACACAACAGAACCTCTGGCAGGGAAAACCCTCAAAGCCAGGCTTAAGGGAGCCTTTTGTGGCCATGCAGCTTGCTCCTCTTCCCCCTGCAGGAGGAAGGCTCCCAGCAGCAGCAGCAGCAGCAGCAGCAGCAGGAGGCTCCAGCTGCTTTCCCCAGTGGTGCACAGCCCCCAGTGCTGTCAAGGAGGCAGAGCCTGGAGACCCAGTACCTGAAACACCGGCTGCAGGTACCCCTGTGCTGTCCTGGGAATGCCACCCTGCCCTGTGGATGCCACACTGCCCTCCCTGTGGATGCCACCCTGCCCTGTGGATGCCACCCTGCCCTGNATATTTTTCCTTAAAACCCATATAATTTCATATGGCAAAGAATTAGTTAAGGTGCATGGCAAACTGGCTTGGAGAATAAAACCAGAATTAAAACCCCAGGAGCAGTTTAGGCTGGGGAGGTGCCTCTAAAGCTGAGTCAAAGCTGTGGGAGGCTGCTCAGGGCTGGGTAAATCCAAGGAGGGATTCCACAGCTTCTCCAGGCAGCCTGTGTTTGCAGGGGAACAACATAAATCAAGTGGAGTTGTGCTGGGAAAAGGTGCATTTATGGAGTTATTCCTGAGCACAGCCCTGCAAGGATGAAATGCAAGGCTGGGGTTTTTTTTCCTGGTGTTTATCTGAGCCTGATAAATGAGCACAGTAGGTATAGGAAGGGGGGAGCAGCAGTATTGCACATTCCAGAAATATTTTGTACTTGTGGCTAAGCTGGCAAAGTTTTTAATAATTTAAAAAAAAAAAAAACAAAAAAAACCCACCAAAAAAACCCAGTCCTGGAGAGCACAGAACTGTGGGAATAAGAATATTTCATTTTAGGGAATGTAGATAGGAAATGAAGAATTGTACATGGCAAATCTTACTTAAGAGTTAAAGATCCCAATTCCTTCAGGCCAGGGAGTTGCTGCTTGTGGGGGTGATGCTTTGGGCAGGAAACAAAGCTGGGCACAAAACAAAAGTGGGCACAAAGAAAGGTGGGCACAGAGATGGGCACAAAGAAAGGTGGGCACAAAAAAAGGTGGGCACAAAACAAAAGTGGGCACAGAGAAAGGTGGGCACAGAGATGGGCACAAAGAAAGATGGACACAAAGAAAGGTGGGCACAAAGAAAGGTGGGCATAGAGATGGGCACAAAGAAAGGTGGGCACAGAGATGGGCACAAAGAAAGGTGGACACAAAGAAGGGTGGGCACAAAGGTGGGCACAAACAAAGCTGGGAGCAAATAAAGGTGAGCACAAAACAGAGCTGGGCACAAGGAAAGGTGGACACAAAGCTGGGCACAAACAAAGCTGGGCACAAACAAAGGTGAGCACAAAACAGAGCTGGGCACAAGGAAAGGTGGACACAAAACTGGGCACAAACAGAGCTGGGCTCAAACAAAGCTGGGCACAAAGGTGGGCACAAACAAAGCTGGGCACAAATAAAGGTGGACACAAAGCTGGGCACAAACAGAGCTGGGCACAAACAGAGCTGGGCACAAACAGAGCTGTGCCCAAACAAAGCTGTCCCCGTGCCCCCAGGTGAATGGCTGCCTGCTGGACCCCGTGCCCCCCGTGGTGATGAGGAAGGGGTGCCAGTCCCTGCCCTCCAGCATGATGGAAACCTCCATTGATGAAGGAATCGAGGCCGAAGGAGAGGCAGAGGAGGACCCAGCCCAGGCCTTCGCTGCCCTGCAGGCAGCTCGAGGGGGCAAGAGGAGGCACACCCTGGCTGAGGTCACCAACCAGCTGGTGATGGTGCCAGGCACAGGTACAGCTCAGCTCAAAGCTCATCCTCTGATCGGCTGCGGTGAGGGGTTATGAGTGATGACTACAAGGCAGTTTCTATTTACTAGAAAAGACAAAGGAAAAAAAAAAACACAAAATACCCCAAAATTTTCTGGGAAATGTGGCAAGATTGGCTGCTTTCTAACTGAATGTCCCCAAATCATTCATCCCTAAAGGTGAGCTGGCAGAGAGCAGTGGGGAAATAAAACCCTCTGGACTCCAGCACCAGTGAGGTGACCATGCCTTTCAGGCTGCAGTTTTGTCAGGATTTAAAAAGCCCTGAACCCTTTCCAGTGAAGATCTGCAGGGTGTCTGGCTGCTGCAAAATACTGCAAAAACCCAGCAGCAAATCCCCATTATTGTACTGCAAGTTTCACTTGACAATTCCTTTGTCCAGATTGATTTCTTTGGCTGTTCACTCTAAGATAGCCACTGTTGGCAGGAGTAGCTGGAGTCAGTGGTGCTGATTCTCACTCTTATCCTGGATTTTGGGTTTTTTTGTGCCAGGGAAAGTCTATTCCTTGGATGAGAACTCCTCCCTGGGCAGCATCGACTCGGAGTACGACATGGGCTCGGTGCAGAGGGACCTCAAATTGCTGGGCGAGACCCCTTCGCTGAAGGAGATGGTGCTGAGCAGCCAGCAGCCCGCAGCGGTGACCTCGCCGTTCCTGGGGC